ACTTGAGAAGTTTAGAAGTTGAATTAAGGGACTCAGCAGAGAGCCAGGATTCTTAATGTATAAATATCCTCATCCCGTGCAAGAGGAGGGCACGGACACTGTGTGAGGTCTACACCCCCAGCCTCAGGGTAGCTCATTTATAATATAAGGAGGGGAGAGAGGCTGCTTACAAGCCACAGCTGCTGCCTCTCCCTTTGCTCTTGCTGTTTTCTGCTGCCATGAACTGCTGCCCTCTGCCATGTGCCACTCTGCCTGGGAGCCAGCTGAGTATAGACTGAAACCTCCACCAACGGTAAGCTAAATAAACTTTTCCTTCCTTAATCTTGGGTGGCAGATATTTTGTCCCAGAAAAGACTAAAAAGTAACTGAGACAATGGTTTTATATTTAAGTTTATAATCAATCTTGAGCTAATTTCTGTTTCTAATTTAGAGTTGAATTTCTCTCCCTCTCTCTCTTTCAAATAACTTCTGATTGTTCCAAAACTATGTCTTGGAAAGGACTATGCTTTTGTCATCGAGTTGCCTGAAAGCTTTGTCAAAAATCAATACTTAATGAATATGTAAGTTCAGTTCTTAGCTTACTGCACAATTCCATTAGTCTGTCAGTCTATGTGTCAATAATTCTTGAACTTTTAGTTTTGAAAATATTTTAACTAATTTACTCTGCTTTCCCCAAAGCACTTTATAGTAAGTGAACCAATGTCTACCAAAGAAAGAAAAAAAGAACAAAGGAAAGAAAATATAAAGGGGTTGAGGAGGGAGGGCGGGAGGGGAGGAGGGTGAGAGAAAACCTTCTGAATTGCATTTGCGAGTGTATTCACTCTAAATATCAATTTGGGGAAGCTGACATTTCAGTAACAATCATTCAAATCCACAAATATAGTCTTGTTGAAGCAACTCTCCAATTTACTTTTTAAATTACAGTTTATAATTTTTATTAAAACAACATAGAAATATTTCTAACTTTTGCATATTGATCTTGTATCCTGTGATTTTGTTAATCGCGCTACTTTCTAAAAATTCTATAGGGGTTAGCTTATGTATTTAGTAAGTTAGTTTGTTCTCAGGAATCAGGACCTTGTGCTTTCTAGGCAGTTGCTGTGCCACTGAGCTACATTCCTAACCTACTATAGGGCTTTATTCCTAGAACAACATGTCCCCAGTCAATAGAGACATTTTGTTTCTTCCCTTCCCTACTATGTGGTTTGAATTTCTTTTCTTGTTACGTGTATAGGGTCACCAGCATTATGTTGAACAGCAGTAGTCCGAAGAAGTATCCTTTGATACTGATCTTAGGGGAATTGTACCTAATTCTTTGACTATTGACTAAGATATCATCTGTTCGATTTTCATAGATGTCTTTTATAATATGAAGAGAATTCTACGCTATGTAAAATAGTATAACCACTTTGTAAATCAGTACGGAAATTCCTTTAAAAGCAAAAATTAGAAATTCCATTTGACTCAGCTATTCTCCTTCTAGGTATCTTTCTGAAAGAACTAAAGACATCATATTACAGTGATCTATTGTTTTCCATCAAGCAGTACAGTTCATCATAAGTAAAACTTGCAAGTGACTTACATTTCCATCAACAGATAAATGGGTTAAAAAATGTAGTGATAGGGCAGATGGCTCAGTAGAATAAGCGCTTGTCTGGCAAGCACAAGGGCCTGAGTTCAATCCCTGGTTCTGCCAAAAAATGTGGTGGTTACATGCAGTGGAGTACTACTCTGACATAAAGAAAAATAAATTTAGGTCATTTGTAGGAAAATACATGCACCTTGAACCACAATAGTAAGTGAAATAAATGAGCCATATGAGCTTAAATATCACATGGCTTCTCTTAGGAGAAGCCCAAAGTATGAAGAACTCACCATGTACCACATGCATGTACACAAAACAAGCAGGCAAACAAATGAAAGGGATCAAGAGATGGATGAGGGAGGAGGAGGGAAAGGTGTATAGAAAGGAATTAAGATGCATTATGTATATATATATATATCAATTCTCCACAAGGAATGGAAATAATTATATACTAAAATGTGTACTAAATTTAAAAATTCCTCTGTAGTTCTTAGTATGTTTAGTTTTATCATAGGTAGGATGTTTAGTTACTACTGACTTTTCATATATTCATTGAGAAAAGTTACTTCTATATTCATAAGTAAATTAAATAGTTATATTCTCTAAGATTTTGTCTACAGTACAACATTAAAAGATAGTTTTAGGCTAGGATGGTTGAGCATGGCTGTATTCCCAGAACTCAGCAGGCTGAGGTAGGAGGATCACTGCAAGTTCAAGGCCAGCCAGGACCACAAAATGAGTTCAGAGACAGCCTGAACTACATAGTAAAACCCTGTCTCAAAAAATAAAATAAAATAAAAAATTAAATATAGATTCAACATTTACATCCTTTGCACACTTGAGAAAATGCTGAACAATTCCTATGAGTTCTAACAACAAGAAGAATACCAGCAGTAAAGGAAATTTCAGACCTAACTGTGTTTTAAAAAATGAGAAGAATTTAAAAACAAAGATATCACCAGTTTATCGGGGTAACCTTCTATCTACTACTGCTAGATCTTCTAATCATGTATTATTTATTTTTCCTTTTTCTCAAGGTTTGTCTTTTCTCCTATTAAAAACATGCCTCAATATGAAATTTCCAACATCTCTAGTTTATGAGAAAATTAACAACATTCTTTTATTCGTAGCTCTCCAACAGAAACGGAAACATGTCTTGTTTTAATGGACACTATTAATTTTGTTCAAATGAGGAAGCCGGAGGTCATCCTCCAATCCTTGACTCTCAGTGTTCCGTCTGTATCATATTGAATTCACCTTGCTAGCTGATCCCCTTCCTCCTGCATGGAGTCCAGCACCACTGCCCACAAAATTCAAGTCCTTACAACTAGTCCTTGTTTTATATCACAGGTCACATTGCTGGTCCTTTTAGTCTATAACTCATTTTGAAGCTTTCAATTGAAACATAAGACTTAAATTAGTTTTTCAACATTAAATTATTCAGTGCCCAGCTCTGAGGCTCAAAAGAGTAATCTCCGTGTCCCATTCCTCTGCGTGTAAGGTCCACTGTGCAGGATTCTGTATCAATAAGCCTCATATTTACCCAGCGTACTTTACTGGCAAAGAAAAATGGTGCGCATTTAAGGTCACTGAACCTAAGAGATGCAGATGTACCACATAGAGAAAAGGATATCTACTCAGTTCTAGTCATTGTTCTTCTGACCAAAGAAATATGGTAGAAAATAGTCCTTATGACCGCCTGTGATGGTGAGCTTCAACTACTCTAAAAGTAGAGTTGGAAGCCAAGAAGGCCCAATACTCAATGATGGATCCATTACTAAGCTAGAGGTTAATTAGTGGCCTCTACATCCTGGACCCTGCGGTGATGCTGTGGTGCTGATGTTGCTGCCTTCTTCTCTGTGCCCAAGGTCACAGGAAGTGAATGTTCTGGTTTCTCAGCTCCAGAATGATTAGCATTTTCAGGAGATAATCCTTCTCTGGAGGGCTGTCTCGTACATTTTATACAGGATATATGCAGCATCCTGGGTCTTCCCAGAAATGAGTAGCAGCCACCTCCCACCAGTAACAATCAAAGACATCTCCACACATGGCTAAATTACCACTGGGAAGGGGGAAATGACTTTGGATGGAGAATCATTGCTCCAAAAAAAATAGATGCTATGCACTCTCCATGGAGTCTGGGGATAAGAAATGTTAAGAAATAGAACTGGTTGTGATCCTAGGCAGAGCAGACTAATTCCCGGGGATTACAGCAAATGAAATAAGGAAGAGAAGGGAAGACAGCTGCAGTGGAGATCAGAGCACGCCATGAAAGCTGCAGTTGTTGCACAGAGCTGCTCTACTGTCAGGAACAATCACCACGCTCCCTGCATGCCTCCTGAGTTTATACTCCCATCTCTTTGCATATAATTTCTCTCTCCACAAAATATGCTGTGTCATCTTCATGTGAATGCATGACCACGGCAGACAGGAAGTAGAGATGATAAGCATCAGAGATGACAGTAGAGCAGCAGGCACTTTCATACGATGCGTGTATAATTTTTGTAGACCAGTATCACCTTTGCTTTTGAACGAAGCACCTGCTGCTGTGTGTGCCCCTATATCTACCAAGTGGTCTGATCCTCCCTTCTTCTGTGGAGCCCCCAAATGAGATTTTATTCTATGGAGCACTTTCTATATAAACAGATACTCCTTCTCTTTTCATTTTAAGTTTTGGAAATAACAAAAGGACACATCATCCATCTACCTCTAAGCTAACTGACTTTCAGAAAGTTAACGATCTATGAATGGACACATATGTTCATTTTATTGCCGGCTGAAAATGGGCTTGTGTGTGTTTGTAGATCATGCTTGAATTTTTAAATTCTAACTCAACATCTTAATACATTGAAGAGAAGGACCAGTATGGCTCATTGGTTTAAAGTCAACTACTACACACACACACACACACACACACACACACACACACACGTACACACAGTCATGCATTAAAAATTTTTAAATGATGTTTAATCAGAATGTCTAATCAATATGTTAAAAATTGAAATATGCTTAATCAAGTTTACTTTTGCTTTTATTGATGTTTTAATTTTACCCCAGGCCTAGCAATAGGAAATTCATGTGAATTCTAAACAATTCTATGCAGCACTGAGGCATGCCTATGTAGATAATGCTCTGCGGAAATTTGGGGATGTTAGAATACATTAAGGAACTCATAAAATAAAATAAAAAAATCTCAGTCGTTTCTCCTAGAAGCCTAATAGCATTTGCCATCCTCATATTTATCACAGATTTTAGCATTTCATGGATGTGCTGGTTTGTTGACTAACTGAAAGAAAATTTCCAAAATTACTTACATTTTTTTACAGTGAAAGTCTAATCAATTGTCCTATGACAGAAACACAGTACTTAAGTGACATTGCTTTTGTGCCCACAAAACATGGTGACGACTTACTGTCTCCCTGACAAAGTAGAGGTCCAAGCTTATAAGCTGCCTCTGAATGGGGCCGGCCGGTGTCTGTAATCACTATCTTAGTCACTGGCAGATGATCTTTATAAGAAAGGAATCCAGTGTCGTTGGTCCTAAAAAACAGAAAGTAGCAACAATTGCTAAAATTATTCTGATTCATATAACTCTACCATAAATAATAATTCTCTTTGCATTTCAAAACCACAATGTTCTAAGCTACATTTACACATGTACCAAAGAGTATGTATGCAACTACCATATAAAGTATGGCAGCATCTTAATGTCTCTAGTACACATTAAAAAATAGGATATAAAATACACAGTAAATATTATATGCTGTAAATCTAGAAGATAGTTGAATATTTTTAACTTTAGTAGACACTCCATCTACCTGCTGACTGAAATGGTTAATTCATTATTATTTAGTATAACGACGGAGCCAGGACATACAGCTGGACCATTTTGCTATTTATTGGTTTTCTCCTATGATTTCCTATATTTCTGTTCCCTCTTGGCTGCCTCACAGTCTGTTGCATATTGTTTTGTATTCAATCTTATTTTCTCAATTAACTTTTTAGCTAAAAGTTTGTTGATTGTACTTTAATGTTCAATATATGAATTGCAAAATGCATCCTTCATTCACCATGGGCTACTTTTATGTTGTCTAAAAGTAGAAAATGTCAGAAACTTGCTATTGATTAATTTATTCAATATCCCTTCACTTACATATTTGTTTTGTATGCTATTGTTATCATGAATTTAAACCTATTATAAGCTATGCAATTTAATTAGTGAATTTTATTTTTATAATAAAAAAGACTTTAAGTACATGGTTTGTATCTTTATCAACACAACCATAATACCAGATCACTTGATATCATTCTGAATATCTGAGTTTTCAACTTACATTAATTCTCTTTAGCCTAGAGAATTTCTTAGAATCTTTCAGTTCAGATGTTGTACTTTGATACTCTACAATTTACATCGCGTTGTCTAACATAGTTCTGAATGCATTTGCTTAAAATCCTTCTTCATTTATTATAACCAATTTTACCTTTAAGTCTTTAAACATATTAATAATAGTTGTGTTAATGTTTTTGCCTGATAATTTTTTCCTCTGTGTCCCAGTATTTATCTGATAACTTTTAAATTTCTTGACTGTAGAGCAAAGTATACCCTTCTATTGAAATATTCAGAAAGTGGTTAACAGCCTAGATACTACATACATTGTAAAGAATCTGATTTTTATTGATCCTTGAGGATTTCATTTTTAATTTTACAAGCACATAGTTAAATCACAACCTTCATGTGATATTGATGAATTGTGCTTTGCCAACTGACTATAAATACAGTTTGAAAATGGAGCACTACTTGTACAGTGCTTCAAAGAGAATGATAACTAATTTACATGTGGTAGAGTCTTCTATTTTTTTCTACTATGCAAAGGAGATGGACATGACATATGTTCAAATTTTAAAACACTCAAAAGAGCTTTGAACTTAATTAGCATTCAGGATTAAACTGTACCACATTCCCTCCAAAGCTACCTTTGCCTATCTCCTCATTGGGCCAACTTGGTATATACACACACTGTGTGATTAATGTAAGAAAATAAATTTTATCTTGAAAAATGAGATCAGAAGACAATCACCATTCGCTCCGGTCAGCATCACAGTTGCAGTGATATTGGTCATCAATGCAGTTCCCTTCCAAGCTGCAAGTGCATTTTTGCGGGCCGGGCGCAGAACCTCCCCAGTAGGTCTGAGTTTCGTTGGTTCTTCCAACCCACCAGCTCAGAGGAGTTCCATCTGAAAGACAAACATGAGAAATGTGCCATCTGCTTCCCTGCCAGCATAAAAACCTTTTTTCCTACATCACTAAAAAGAACAAAGAAAGATGCATGTGAGATAAAGTTACACTAAATGCTGTAATTGATGGCATTTCCTGATGACTTTTTTGAAAATAATTGATCGTCATTTAGCTTTACATACATTTTTCCTTGAGCAGAAAAGAAACTGGCAATTTCAATTTAATTTAAGCACTCTCGTTAAAAAACGTATTGAGAGCAGGTCATATATACAATTTCTTTAAACATAGTTTTTGAAACACATGGACATCAAGACATAAAATGTGATCATTAACATAACAAAGCCAAATTGATTTAAATTATGAAATGCTCCCTTAAAATAAAACATGGACTGTTATGTAAGGGCGTGGATTTTTCTTACACATTTGTTGACTAGAATATACTCACTGTTGATTAAACCCTAGGCCTGGCATTGCATTCCCTCATCATGATTGAAGATTTATTTGGAGGCCTGTGTTTTCTCTTCCATTTAAAGTCTTGGCTATTTATTTGGAGGCTACAGAAAGAACACTGAAAGATCTCCCTGCCTCAAGCGAATATTACACTAAAAAAAGTTTCCTTTAGCCAAATGCATCTTTTTCTAGGATAAATGTTCCTCTACCAGCTCCTTCTCAGAGTTCATACTAAATATGGTGCCAAGGAGCTCAAGCAAGGGATAGACAGAACATTTAGGCCAGGATTCGTACAAAAGGAACTGACGCGTGTAGGCGATGCATCTTAGAAAGAAAGGCAGGAAAAAATCATAAACATTTGAGAATCAGGGCATGAGAAGACTGCAAGTAAAGACAGATCAGTCAGCTCCTCAGAGATGTGTGATCATTTTTCTGTTGACTTTCAAACCTTTCAACTGTCACCACCAGCCCCGCTGAGAATCTGGTTCTTTTACTAATTTTCCCCCTTTACTTGCAAATGTCAGTGTTCATTTTAACTGACTACCGAATTGTCTCTTACTAATGCTGACAATCTCTCTCTCTAGATATGTAAAGAAAAAGAAGAAAAGCAAAACAAGCATACTGGAAATGTGAGCTATTCATATAAGTATTAATACTGACTTTTCAAATTTGTATTGGCGTGATTAGCTCATTACCAAAAGGTCAATTTAACTAGAAAAATGTACTAGATATATGTTAATGCACAGTTGAAAAGATTACAAGGGGTGATCAAAAATACATTCGGTGATTAATTTTTTTAAAACTCTTAACACAATAGAAGACACAGTGCCAGGAACAATGGCTTAACTGTGCTCAAAGCAAGCGACACTATCTTGAGGATTTTGAGGAGAATTAATGTCAATGTTTCTTTTACTGTAATAAATATTCTTATTTAAACATTCACCATAGTTTTCAATTGCTCTTCAATAATGAAATGTTTAAAGCATGGCAATGTATCCTCCTTCATCTATTCACCATGTGTGACATCCTGCAACTTCTGCCTCTTGCCAAAGTGAAAAGGACCATGAAAGGTAAATACATGAACTAATTCAGAACACAGAAGTAGCCAGGACAGCGCAGCTGAGACACTTCCCAAAGAGCATGTCCAGAATGGCTCGAAAAAGTAGCAAGAAATACAGCTAAGTGCATTAGAAGTAAGAAAGGATGTCTAAGGGGGGATTATTGCCAATGAGTCCTCTGCTATAACATTTTTAAAAGTAAAGTGTAAGTATTCAACCTAGTGTTCAGTCATCTACTTATGTTCATAAACAGAAAAGAAATCCTTATTCATAAATACAAAATCATATTTTCTCATTTAAATTTCCTATTTTCCTACAAAGTAGAAATTACTGAATATTTTAGTAATCACATACCTTGGGGATATATATATATATATATATATATATATGACATTGTTTAGCTTAAAATAGAAAAGAAAATCCTGCCATTTATGACAAGGATGAACATGGAGAAGATTATACCAAGTGGACTTAGATAAATATTCAGCTATAGTGAATAGTCAGTTCCTTACTAAACTGGGTATGCTAGCCATAGCCACGCTGCTCTGGATAGCAAGAAGAAAAGAAGCTCACTGACCCACTCTGAGCTCCATTATCTAATCATAACAACAGCCCCATGAGACTGGCTTTATCTGGACCACTTGGGTGTTGTTGTTGTTGTTGCTATTGTTGTTGTTTGTTTTTTGGGTTTTTTATTTTAGGGAAGGGTCTACAGGGTGTTCAGGGTCTCACAACTAGATCAGACGTGTAGTGATCCACGTGTTTACAGCCTCCCAAGAGCTGGGATTACAGGTGCGTGCCACCACGCCCAGTCTCAATTTCCACCTCAGAGCCCCAGGGATGGGGCTGGCATTGCAGACCTGGGGATCAAATCCCCAGCTCCTGCACCTGCTTGCAGGCACTTTAATCCACTGAGCTATTTGGCCAGGCCATATCTGGGCCATTTTGAAGGAGAGAAGGCAAAGACAGAGGTGAATCATTGACTCATTCATTCATTTGATGAATCAAAGATTCTTCTAAGTTCTGTATCTAGAAAACAAATAACCTGAAGTTACCTCTCTCCCCACCTAGAAACCTTATAATTTTTGCACTGCTACTGTCTGATCTTCATTCACAGAGAGGACTAAATTCTTAAGGAGAGATGATATTTGTGATGGACCAAGCCAAGCACGATGAGCCTGGAAGGATCAAAGACCACATGAGGCTATTCTGAAAGCGGTGGAGAACAGGGGTGGGAGGAAACTCTGGTAGAGGAGAGAAAATAACCTAGTATTAAGTGGTAGAGAATAAATAGGAGAGATGCTTCATTGGAAAGGAAAGGTTCAAATGTCATATAAAAAGTTCAACATTTTTATGGGTGATCTATATGACCTACTATTCCTATGAAACACATGTTTTGAAAGAATTATTTTTCTCTGCAGAGCTTTCATCCTGGAACTAGATGAAACCAGGAATGAACATCAATGAAGTAGTCTTACTGCACAGATGTCTTAGCATTTTCTGTAATAGCTCAACAAAGCACACCTGAATATAAGGGCTAAAAGCCAGTGCACTGGGACAGAGATGGAGGCTGCATCAGCAAGGTCTAACCAGAACACACAGTCCTTGGCTCTGAGTGGAAGCTCTGTGTCGGACAAGTGAACAACAAAAGGTATGAGAGCTAGGAAACTTATTTTTGAGAGAATACAAGAAAGAATTAAGGTTTTTTTTTATTGTCTTGCCAGATGTAGTGGCAAATGAGTGATTTTAGCTACTTGGGACACTACAGCAGAAGAATTCCAAGTTTGGGGTCAATTTAAACAACTTAGGTAGACTCTATCTCAAAATAAAACTAATGACAGATGAGAATGTAGCTCAGTGGCCAAAGGCCTCTGGTTCAGATCCTCAGTACCACAAAAAACCAGTTTTCTGATTCCTTCTTGAGCTATTGAATCAGCTGTTCCCAGCAGCAGCAGCAGCAGCAGCAGCAGCAGCAGCCTTTTCTAATTTTCAATTATCCCCACAGGCAAACTGTCAACAATTCACGAAAAAAGAGCCACACAGAACAGTCACTTTCAGAAATGAAGTCATATTTGTATTAGCTCTTTTTCATGATAAAATGAAGCTTAGGTGTCACTTGCTCTTTCTAAGGATAAACCCTGAGCATTCGCAGAGGATCACAATGAATCCTCACTATACAGTTATCCCATTAAGGCCAGGAGGAGAGTCTGAAAGCAATCAAGGCTTTGAACAAAGCTCAATGCAAATTGACCTTGTTCTTTTCTCCAGGCAAAAGCATCTCCGTGACTTGCAGACTGTGACATGTTTGCTAAGCGTGCAGTCCCTCGGCACCTCAGTGGAACTGAAATTCTCTGGAGCCGGTCGAGTGAGTATGCTCCACACCGCAGACAACTGGGCCAATGCCTCAGTTTACTTACCTTGCTGGTTCGCAAGCCTGGATTTCTTACAGTAGTACGCAAGCTCCTGTTCACAGTGCTCCGCACGGTTAATTGTGGCCTGGAGTTGCTCCCTGCTGGCCGTGTACTCAAAAACACCAGCATATGGGTTGTCTGGATGAGTATTTCTGACTCTTGTTAGGTCAGAGCCATTGTGCTGTATGATGGTCCATGCAGTTTCTTGTATGCAGAAATGGGGGAAGAAAGAGAGGAGACCATCACTAGTCTGCAAAAGTTAAAATAAATAAAGAAAATCAAAATCACCTTTTATCTGAGTCAAATGTTTCTAGTCATCTAGCCTCTCTGAGAAGTAGATTCCACACAAATGGAGCTTTGGAAATTTTAAACTACAGCCAAGTAACTCTTCTCCCTGAAATGCATACCATCGCCATCATTTAGAGTGATTTTATTTTCCTTTCTCATTTTATTTAGCAAGACAATATCTATGATGAAAACCATTAGAAAAGCTGATCATTAGATTTTTGACATACATTTTGTTTCATCAAATCTGATATTTTCTCTTTTAGTAAGATGCATCATTGTTTTATGTTCCCTCAAGAGCAAAAAGCTCTACCATTTAGAATTGCACAACATTATTGATTGTTGATAGAGCCAGAATTCAGTGAGGTTACAATGCAAGAAAAGACTCATGCTGTAAATATTGAGGTATCTTGTATCACAGAATGTGAGTAATTACTTTTTTATTCTTACAAAGTATTTATGTTACCAGCAAAAAGAAAGTTATATATATATATATATATATATATATTCTCCACTCTTTAGTCAACGTTTAAGTGGATATACATCCATCTCTTTTCAAATCAAATTTTAAAGTATCTCTTTTAGTTCCATGTGATCTGTCTACTTTGGCAATGCAGTGGGAACTTATTCCTTGGAAATGAACGCATCGGACAGCGCAACAACTCGCACTGAACATAAAGAGGTTTCACTGCTGGTACCTGAGTGTCGGTAAACATTTCCATCATGCTGATCATCAAAATTACTTAGAGGGAATTAAAATCCCACAGTGTTCATAACAGAAGTTGCATGCATTTGTCCCCATCCTCAACTTTCCCTTTCTATGCTGCATTTGCTCCAGTAAACGGAGACACAGAAACAGAAAAGGTTTCTGGTTTAATGAGTCACAAACAGAAGGGGAACTGTCAAAACTCTCCTACTTACGTGTTGTTAAGTCCCACCTCTTCTACGGTACAGAAGAATATTTAAAATTGAGACAAAACAGCAGTGGCTGATAGTTTTTCCACCTCTTTTTAAGTAGCACATTCACAGGCCTCAACAATGCAAATAAGATAAGGAAATGGACATAGATAGTGTTCACTCCCACCCTTGCTCAGTTAGCAGGAGAGCAAGGTCAGCTACAGGACACAGGAAAGCCTTACTGTCTTTTGTGCGTGACTAGTACTTTTCTGGGAAACCATAGCTAATATTGTTATTTCCTTGCCTTCCAATTCCCCCTACAGCAGCGGTGGTAAACTTACTGCACATGTGTTACGGCGTGTTTTCTGTACCATCAAAAGTTCTGAAAGGTTCTCCACTGCTGCCCTAGAGCTTTGTCAGTGGGGTGCTTTCCTCAAAGAGAACATGAGCCCTAAGCTAATGGGATTAATTGTGGGTGTCCAACAGGACAGGGTAGAGGCCATCAGGGGATGTGATTGCAGGCTGGGCATGGAAAAGTCAAGAAAAGTCTGAGCTCTGATTGCCAAATGTGGAAAATAAATTGGCAAAATTGCCAATAGAGTAGGTCGGAAACTCTCATTTTAGCCAAGTCAGCCGTGGCTGTTGGAAGTTTCAGGTTATTATTAAACAGACAAATCTGTCTTCCTCGCTTCTGCTGGACTGAGCTTTCATTGTTGGGTAGAACTGCTCACCTCTTCTTGCGGTGAATCAGCGGTGTTCACCAGTAGCTGCCAAAAGAGCGAGACAGTAAACCAGCCTGAGGCCTCTGTCTCCAAGTCTTTTTGTTCACGCTGCGAGAAACGTGACTGTAGTTTAGCAGCCACTGGTTCACACCGAACACAGGCTTCTAAAGGGGTTTTAGGATGTGCTAGGAAACTCAAGGCCAACATGCATGGCAACCCTTAACAGGCAGCTCATAGAAATGTTTTCTTTGGAAATTCTAACCTATTTTTATATCATGATAGTTTCTTTAAGCAATTTTCTTTTCTAATTAAAAATGTTACAAAGGTAAACAGCTGCCATACCTATCAGACTACCTAAGCTTCCATGGCGAAGCAAACACCATGAAACCATTGCAGTAGATTCTGAGTAATGAAAGCAGCTAGCCTGCATCCAGCATCCTCTCTTGTGAGGGATTAATGCAGGCAGGTCTGGGGGTAACTGTGAAGAGTCTCCTGTTCTTCCAGAGCTTTGTGTTCATCGAGATATCTGTAAACACCTATTGAAAAATAATAACTGTGGCAGTCATAGACTTCATCCCAAACTTGTAATACAATGTTTTGTGGTTGATTTTATTATTCTTACTATGAGATAGCTTCTGGCATGCAGTGTGTGTGTGTGTGTGTGTGTGTGTGTGTGTGACTGTGCTTGGACCCAGGACCTTCACATTAAACTACATCCCTAACCCTTTTCTTAATTTTTTTTTCTATTTTGAGACAGGGTCTTGCTAAGTCCCTAAATTGCCTGGAATATGTATGACCTTCAACGCCCTGCCTCAGCTTCCCAGAGTGCTTGGATCACAGGCATATACTATGACATCCCACAGTTTCTAACATGCCAGCCAAGGTATCTCCTCCCACTAGCACAAAGGGTTGGCACAATATGCAGAAAATACAAGTTGGGAAAGAAGAAATCAACAAACTAATCAATAAAAACAAGGTGGTGTCTGGATGCCAGGTTATCAGATTCTAATCCATGGTGGCTGTGAAACTGTCATTGACACTCAGTTATTTTACAACTGTGAAGTGTAGGTCATTTCCAGGTTTGCAAAATAAAGCCTAAAATTGTGGAGTGTTGTGTAATTTAACAAGCTGTCCTGTCTCATTTACAGACACTATCTACCTGGAACCAGGCATGCATCTATTTCTCCACCTAGCTACCTATCTTAACAAACACAAAGGCTTTGGACCAGCATCTATTTACTTACAAAGAATCTCAGTAGCGTGGATGCCTCACAGCCTAGATTCCTGTAAGATGATACAGTTATGACAGGTCCACCCAACACTGCCTGCTGTCCTTGCACGCCAAGAGAGCCAGCCAACTCTGGGAGGCTTGGGGCTGACAGAGGGCAACTGGAGTGAATACCTGCTTCTCCCAAAGAGTCAGGGAGAGAGTTTGCCTCTGGAAGTTAACAAATCTCCCCTAAGGGAAAAGGTACAAATCCTCAGGCTTTTATTACCCTCAGAAAGTAGGCAGTGCATCTGCAGGAGATAAGCCCTTAAATCTCCCTAGAGAATTTACTATCCTTAACTTCCAAAACACATTTACATTTAATCACCCTTTAACCTAAGTTGGTAGAATCAGTTTGTTGTTTCAGTCTTTGGTTGCTTGCAGTTTTGTTTGTTATGTGAATTTTGGAGTATGCTTGTTCTAGGTTGATTTCTGGTTTTGTTTTGCTTTTTTTATTAATTTTATTGAGAAATAGCAATGAGACAGTTTCAAAAGAGGTTAGTAGGACAGTTTCAATAGTTAATACACTGCATGTTGTTGTCTTCTTAGTGGCTATTCATAGTACAAGATGCAGACAGGATATCCTCTCCAAACACTATTAGTACAAATCTTGCTTCTCATTGAATTAAGAGAAAGTAGCTGTATATCTATCCTAACTATATACAGATACAAAATGGTCCTTCATTTATATCCCCTTTTTTGTTTAGTTTTGTCAGAGATGGATATTACATTGCCGTTTAAATAATTGTTTTGCTTTTAAAAAGAAAAAGCATTAGCTCCCTACAAGTTAGTGATTCTGTGGCTAAGCAAGCACCTTCTACCTAGCAGAGGTCTCATTCCAATATTCCCAGCACATCTGTGTCTCTGTTCTTTGGATTCTCCTTTGAACTAGCTTAAAAGCTTACCAACTTCTTCATTAATAATAAATTGAAATCTCTCTAAAATATGTTTTAAGCACTTACTTTCACATCTGCATGAGAGTCATGATTTCACTTTCTTGAAAATTATCCTTTGCTAAATGCAGCCAGAATTGGAAGCTAAGGAGACACAGGGAAATGAATAAGAAGAGGCTGCTGAAATAGACAGAAAAATCTATGAAGTTTAAAAAATAGGATGGCAATTTGGGCTTGCTGGTGTCTCTCCCTGAAGAGATTTCTAATAATATGAATTGTAAATAAAGCTACTGAGTAATTAAGAACTTGATTTACCTTAGGCTGACTGCTATTTCTTAGTGTGATAACAGTGTAAAGAAAAAAATATGCTGTTTAAGCAACACAGTTAGTTGCAAAGCTGTGGCACTTCATGCTTCATAGCTGAGGGTGACAGATGTGATAAAGACCTGAAGAACAGGCGGAAGAGTTGCATTAAGGCAAGCAGGAAGGATGAAATGAAGAAGAGTGGCTGCTCTGGAGCCAGCCGCATGGGGGCATTGGAATAGTGATAGTTAATGGTTAATTTCTTAGCTATTAAGAAATCTTTAATATTGAAGTTCCTAAAGTAAAAATAATTATGTTATTGCATCTTACGCTAGAATCACATGAGGTATTTGTTAATAATGCAGAAACCTGGATCTCAGTTTCTACATTTACTGAGTCAGGGAAACTAATGCCAGGCATCTCAGTAATGCTGTAGTAGGAAGTGGGAAATTTAATGTGTAGAATTTCCGTTTTTCCCTAAATTTAAAAGCCACTGTTCTAGTGCTCGCCAGTTCCTTTCCACTGTAGCAACTGTCCCTACAAAGTAATGTTTGATGATGAAAAACTTTTTGAACACAAAACTATCATTTTACAGAAAAAGTAGTGAGTTTAGTGCATAAGAAAACAACCCTCAGCATCTCAACCAGGACAACCACTGGGATTCATCTTATCTGAAGTATTTTTAAACTATATTTAGAATACTCTATTCACAAAGAAATTTCAGTCTTTAGCATAGCTTGGGAAATTACCCATTCAAAATAGATTTTTTTGTTCATATTGTTTAGCTCGTAATGCTTAGAGATATTTTAATCTGTGTAAAGCCACTTGAAAGACACT